TGTTGGTTAATAGTGTCAAAAATGATGGTAATCTCATTTAAGAAGTATTTTACAAAAGAAGATTATGATGTATTGCGAAAATGTCTGGATAATGAGCAGAAAATCTTAACAGAAGTATTAATCAATCTACTGGATAAAATTTAGTCACATTATTTTCCTATATATATATTAATATCAATATGTGCATTATTAATTTCAATATCCCAATTAGGAATGTAGCCTATTAGAACAATCCAAACCATGTGATGATTAGTATAACGCAAGTACTTATATACGTACGTACGTACATACTAGATTTATAAAACCAATGTGATACTAATTGTCACATAATTTGGGTTGTCCTAAATAGTTTTGGGCTACATCACTAATTCTAATATTTAATGACTTTATATACTTATTTAATTTTTTTTTTTATCCTAAATAGTCATTTGAGAACTTTGAAAACCTTCTGAATTTGCACATCAATTCTCATATAGCTCAGCATGCCAGAAATTATGCTAACTTATTAAATGTAGGGGTAGGAACAAAGAAGATGGTACATAAAATATTTAAGAATATTGTGCTACAAATTAATCAGAAAAACATCGACCTGGATTTACTGAAGCATTATAATACATTGTTTGCAGTACGCCATTTGTTAAATGGAGGTAGAGATATGCGTTCTCCGTCTTCAAGCAATGTATTAATTAATCTTCCATGGCATTTACAGAATTTATTAAATAACTGATTTATTTTCGATAATGTCGAAGATAATATAGTTGAAGGTCTGATTAGTAATTTAGATATGATAATAAATTTTTTCTATTAATTAAATTTTTTTTTAATTATTTTTAGACAAAATTTCATTAAAAAAACGCATTTCACGAAGAAAAATTAAGAAAACGATACTATCAGATTTTAAAGAGCAATTGGCATTATGCTACGAAGATTTAGATTATTCCCCTGCAATTTTGAACAATTTGCCATCATTTTTTGAGTACGCAAGTTTTTTTATCAAAGAAAATAACAACCCTGTACGGTGCCATTTACATGTTGGAGATATTGTCTCGATGAATTTTGACGAAGAAGAATACTTTTCAATTATACGTGCGATATTTCGCTACAAAAAGAATGGATGTTATCACACTTTTATTATTATTGACTGGTTTGAAAACACAAATCAAATAAATTTAGGCTGTCCTGTGTATAAATTACAAGCACAAGCAACTGGCGAAAAAATTTTCACATTAGTGTAGTTTAAACAGTTAATGCAGTACATTTTGTCCACAATTTTAAGGATGGCGAATGTATTGGGGGCAATCATAATCTTGAAAATACTTTGTATATAAGAAATTCGTATTTTTTTAAAGCAATTTAACATTTATTATATATTAATATCAGTATAACTACCTAGAAATTTCACTTGATAAAAATCTAGTTTGAGACATTTAAATATCTTGCTTTTAGACTTAGATTATAGATTTGCATTTTGAGTATAGTAATCAATCTAATATGAGAGTTAAGCTTTGATAATTATTTATCTTTTATTACTGTACTATACCATACAGCTATAATGATTTCTGTGATTTATACAAAGTTCATATTGATAAATAAATTCATAATGAAATCTTGAGTTGCTATAACAGGTCTCGACCGAAGCGTGATAGACTTTGATTCAAGTTTTTGGGTCTTGTGCAGCAAATATTAGACTTGGATAAGTATGCTTTACTTATACCTCTTATGTCAATTCAATAATAATAAGCTTCAATATTCAGATGTACTGCTTAATTAGGATCATGTGATAGTATTCTATAATCTATGGGTGAGATCACAGGGTTAATTACTTAAATTACTATATAAGTAATTTGTGTAATATCGATAATTCTAGTTCTTTTAATTTTTCTTTTCTCCAAATGGTAACGACCTTCACAATATTCATAGGACAAGAAAAAACATGACAAATTTATATAAAACAATGACTTAAAATATTATTTCTTCGAAGTTTTTAAACTCCAAAGAGTTAAGTTTACTTCTGGAAAGAAATTCTTTATATAATTAATTCATGAATATGAAAGAATAATATTTTAATTATTATTTTTTCTTATTACTTTTATTACCTCTTTTATCAACATAACCTAAACCATAAACTCCAGGAATTTCAGGAATTGTACTAATGTCATTATATCGTAAATACCGCTATTGCACACTAATCCTAGTATTTAAATGAGATGATACATTTAAAGTAACGCAGCTAACAGATAATTAGTTAAATGATAATTAGCGTTAGATCATACTCAGGCGTTCAGTTACGTATAATTTGTTATTTGTGTTTGAGGAAATTTAGCATCCTTAAACATGTGGTGCTTCAATGATAATAAGAGTGCAATTTACGATATTTTTATTTTGTCAAAGTATCGAATTCAGGTGAGCTGTCTTATAAATAGCAAGTCTTACTTACTTTTATATGTAAAAATTCAATAACAGATTTTTTAATTATTTTTCTATTTCATCTGATTGATTATACGAAAATTCCAGTTTTAGAATTACTATCTTCAAGAGGAAGCGTAGCATGTCAAATATAGTACTATTGTACGTGTACTCTACGTACTGTGTGAGAAAACAAATTTAAAGTATTACTAAAATGGCACGTCTCTAAGTACTTGATGTGCAAAGTTGAGCTTTGAAGTTGAAAGATGAATCAATATATCATATTAGAATTTAGATAATTAATAATAGTTGAAATTAAGGTATTTATAATAGCTGTTTGCTTATACTTTTATATTTTATTCATATCTATCGTCTAAGTGTGATTACATTGGTAGTTATCAGACCACATCATGTGGTTATTTAATCACATTATGAAGATATTTCTAAATCAGATGGATAATCTAATATTTCCCAACCCTGTTATTGTTTTTTTCTATCCACTACTAACAATAATATGCAAATGATTAAAATAATGTTCTGATGCTTATTATATCAATTATAGTGTAAGACAATACGGTTCTATGCGTGATCGTTATATTCTATCTATTAATGTTTTTTGCTTTTCTTTGTCTTAATTCACCTTGCATCGATTATATTCGTCATTTACGCCCATAACAACTAAGGTATCCTTTGTGTTTTGATTATATTCCTATTTTTTACTACTTGCTTATGTAGGTTTTCTGTCGTTTGCATTGTTTTATAGTGGCATTCATAGATCTTGATCATTCCTCATCCTTGATGGCCACTTGACAAGCCGTAATATGTTCTATTCTTATATCCTATTATTACTTATCTACAATTCTAATTTTTTACTAGTATCGCTGTTTGCTCCCTAGACCCAATACTCTAGGTAAACATTCTTGATTATTAAATTTAAAATAATTGGAAATTATCATAAGATATGAAAGGACTCAACCCGTTTAAACTATCAAAAATCCAATTCTTCAATGTGGACACCTTTTTTTATTGTCACTTTCATATACACTTATCGATACTTATCGACATCTATCGCATCACGATATTTTAACACGCCTTATTTGAGTTATGCATCATGCGTTTATCGCTTTTCATTATTCATCTTCGTCACTAAATGCATTATATGTAAATAGCATCGGGTACTAATTCTATTTGATGTTCATATTTTCATACTGTCTTATAATTTAATCAAAGATATACTATTAACTTCATGATTGTCTAGTAGCCTCATGTGGTTCATCTTTATTACGATCAGTGAAATCAATCATACTTGCATCATTCACTATTTCAATACATCTAGTTCTTACCGTCATCAGCATTGTTTCTGGTTCAATTTCAACGTTGTTCTGATCTCTCATTACTCATAGCAAATATTTTTTCCTTTATGACTCTTTCCCTAACTCCGTAATCGGTAAAGACTTTACACTTATTTTTTGAGCTATAAACACAACATACTTTCAAAAGCTTTCTCATTTTTATAACAAGTGTCTGGCTTTCAATTCCAGACTTTGAATCGCTTAGTCCAATATTGCTTACTGGGTTCATGTTAAAATTATATTATCTAATACCGTGTTCAAAACTATCAAAATGAGTATTACTGTCTTGTTCAAAACATTATTTTTAATTATCATTGCATACGCAACTTTATTGATAATAGGAACTATTCTTTCTCATTTTAGAATGCTCATACTCAACCTTTTTATTTCACAACATCTATTTATCATGAAGATTTTAACAGCAGCCTTGACGTTTTCTTTTATTAGTTAGTGATATTAGCACCAACTTTTTTTTTTATTCATGCCCGATTTTTATATAATACCCGTAGTAACTTAGAATTTTGATGAAAATTCTTAATACATTTCTTATTATATTTTTTTTTGGGTCCGTATTATTTCACTGACAATCACTTTACCGACAGCTCATTTAGCCGACATCATTCCAGGTGAAATTTAGTAAAAATATATACCTGTAACTCATCT